TGGGGTGACGGCGCCCCCTGGGCGCGGAGCCTGTGACCGCACTGTGGCCTCCGTAGCTAAGCGGCGCGTTGGGGTCGCACTGTCCCGCGCCAGACGGGCTTTGTGGCTGTGCGAGTGTGGGTGAGTGTGGGTGTGCGCGCGCGCTCGCTGGTGTCGGGTGTGGGTGGGTGTGTGTGCGTGCGTGCATGCGAGCCGGCCTGCAGGAGGCGAGGCTGTCCTGGCCTCCCAAACCAACCAGTTGACCGAGCCCCGGGAGGGAAGTTGCCGCAGCCGGGCCACCGGCCCTCCTCTCCCCCAGCCAGGTCAGTGCGTCCCGGGGTCCGCCCAAGTGACACGTAGGTGGCCTCGGGTTACCTGGGACTGGGTGGGAGCACGGGAAGGCTTGCCGGGGGCGCTCAAAATTCCCCCAAAGCCGCGTCCGGGTGGACGTGGACCGCTGGGGGTCCCTGGCCCCGCAGCGCGGAGCTCTGGGACCAGTTGCTTCTCACTGACGACTCAGTAGTTTCTCCCGGTCTCAGAACTTTAAACTTAAGTTTCTGTCCAGACGCTTAACAAACACGCTTAGCAAGTAACTGGAAAATCTAAGGCAAGGGAGGGACCTGGCTTTGAGTTGGTTGTTTTGAAATCAACAGGCTTGTTTGGTTTGTGTAGGATTAGTTTGTATTGAATGGATGTGAAATTTATTCTCTCTCTCTCTCCTTTTCCCCCCCGTGCCATTTGGCCTTTGATGTGTAAGAATGACGGCATCCTGGACTTGTTGCCTTCGGTCTGGGGCCCGGGATTGTTGCTCTTTGCTACTACGTCTGCTCTTCTTTCTTTCATGTCCTTTTTGTTGAAATCTATGGATTCTTCGTAAATGTGGGTTTCCAGCGAGTGCTCACTTGTTGAAGTTTCACTATGAATGCGTTGTTTCCCATTGAAGTAGATACGTATTTGCAAACGTAATGTTGAAAACATGTAACTGCAGTTATTAGAGCAAAATCCTCTATTCCTTCAGGCTCTAACAGTCTGCTTTTCACCAATTTGCATAAGTGTCGTTTGCTGGGCTTAAGTATAACTGTGAAGTGAGAAGTCTGTGCATCAAACCCTGCAATTCTGGTTAAAGGGAGACTGCACTGGGAAACTGCTAAATTCTCGGAAAGAGATATTTTCCCCTGTCAAATAGAAGAGTAAGCCCCAAGGAAAAAGGGTGTGTACTGAAGTTCTGGCTGTTTGGAACAACTAAATTGCATCACACACACACACACACACACACACACACACACGTCCAGTTGTTTCAGCCCCTGATTCTCCAAATTGGGGTAGGAGTGAGTATAACAATACAAAATTGTTAATAACAACTAGCATTATAAATGTGTTAAGGCTGCATTTTTCTTGATAACTTTTTAATTTGAGGATAAAGAAGCCGAGAAGCATGAGAAAGTAGTGTGTAGCTGGAAGGCACGGGCCAAGGTGCCATGCAGGAAGACTGGGTTGTCATAATCCGAGCCCGAACGCACGCCGCGTCCCCTAGCGGTGCGACCTTAGCCAGTCAGGTCAGCTCGTTAGTTTCCGTCTTGTCCTCGTCTGGAAAATGGAGGGGTTTGATGATCTTCGCAGTTCTTCCCACTCTCCAAGTAACTGGAAACTGGTGGGTGGTTATCCCATGTTAAAACAGTAGGAAAGGGTTAAAGGGAAGTGTGAAGGGTTAGTCCAGGAGGGAAGTGAGAGGACAAGAAGGCCAAGAAGGTGAAAGAAAACCAGCAGTAGGCGATGCCTGGAGGGGGAAGAGCCTTGAGCTGGAAGTCAATTTTTCTCTTTTTCTCTCTTCCTCCACCAGGGTATCAGTAATACTCCCCACACCCTCGGGTCCATCTCCCATTACCTTTATTATTTAAAATGTGTAAACCTAATAAGTTGTAAAATTGAAGGAATGAAGGTGATCTCTACAGCTGACCTGTACTCCTTCCATATTTGCTTCCTGTCTTATGGAGTCAGCAGCTGCCCTGTGCTGTGGGCCCTCAGCCTGGATCTCAGTATCCCCGTGAATGATGGGGGGAAAGAACAGAAGTGAGAATGTGGGAGCCCTTTCAACAACTTGCATTTTGAAACTTCTATTTCAATTTGAAGTTAATTTTTTCCAAAGGGTAATCTGATTTAAAAAATTATACCGTAATTTTCAAGATTTTACGGAATCTGTTCTGTTAGACCTACTGGAAAATTGAAAGAAAGTAAAACTCTTACTTGCTAAGTCTTTTTAATACATGATGGTATTCGGTACGACAGTAATTTTTAGGGCCAGAAATCTTATTTCAAATAGTAAGGCAAGTTGCAATCTGGGCAGAATACACTCCATTTTCACTGGGAAGCTCCAAGTATTCAGTAAATAAGACTTTTGAAATTTAGTTTGAGGTCAAGATTTTAATGTCTGTGCTTGATGTGCAACCTGTCTTTCTTTTCTCTATTTTTTCTGGTACCGATATACACACTTGAGGAACATGATTTATTTTAAAAGTGAACTGTGATATAATAAAAACTTGAACATACGTTCTCGGTTTAAAGCCTGAAAGTCTGCTCTGGCCCTGTTAACTCAGCATCATACTCCTGATCAGTCTCTTATTTTTACCCGTCGTGTTGCCCCACAAGTCCCTACTGTGTAATTATTTCACTCTTTAATGGAGAGCTGTTACGGATGTCTTAGAGTTGAGGGAAAAGGAGGAAATTTTAATGCAATAAGCAATTCCTGAATTCCTTCTCTAGTGGCAGATATAAGGATGATGAAAAGGAGGCTCTGGAAAGAGAGCCAGTAAGAGGGAAAGCACGCAGCTAACTGCAGTATGTAGCAGCTGGATTGGATAACTGAGCAGCAGCCTGGCATGAAGAACCGTGGCGTGCCGGGGAATGGAAAATTAAATTCTGACTTAGGGGAAGACTTCACAGAAGGGATAGAAGGATGAAAATGATGCGTCTTTTAAAAGACGAATGTTGGGGGCTGAACATGCGATTGGAGTCCGGGGTAATGAAGGCTGGAAAGATATCAGGTAGTAAATTACGGGGGGAACTTGGATGTTATTTTAAGGAGCTGTGCTCCATAGGGATGGGGCGGGGGAAAGTATTAGTTAATCTCAAGATGTAAGAAGACACTAAATAACATTTTGGGGCATAGTAAGGGGTGACATGATTGAGAGGTGACTGGACTTTTATTCTGTTAAATTCCATTGTAACTCATGGCTAATGAGTTAGGGCATTGCTGCCAGTTAATCCAGATTATATAAAGTTTCAGAATAAGTGAATATGTGGTTTCTCTTCCCATATTTCCTCCAACTTGATGCTGCTCTTTGTACTTTTCAGACATTTAACTCAGTAAAAATTAATGATGCTATTGTGTTATGTCTAGACCTTCTGAGGCCTTTTGAGCATGTGGGTTAAAATCACTCTCCAGGCACAGAGCTGAGCAAGAAAGCATTTTGTTTTGTTTTGCTTAGGGTAGGGCCTGCTGGTTAATGCTAATTTAAACATGCCTCCAATGACCACCAGCATTCTTGACCATGTTTATGCTATACATAGTATTTAACCACAGTGGTTGAATATTTGTAGCATAAAAGAGAAAGAATTATTATTAGTTTGGAAGTGGAGTCAGTGCCCTGGTAAAGGACAGGGGAGGTGGGGAGAGATCCGTATCCTGAGTACTGCACCGAGGGCTGACTCGACCCTGAAAATTCTTAACCTCCAATAGAAGTAGCTTGCTCAATACTGTAGACTAATACTTCTTTAAGAATCTTCTTTCTGGTCATCTGCTCCTCCTGCTGTCTCCCCCTCTTCACCCCAGTCTCTGGAGCTAAGGGGTCTGGCCAGTTATCTGTTAGAAAGACTCTGGTGGGATCCATTTGGGAGAAGCACTTAGCAGCTCCGGGTTTCCTCTCACCAGCAATACCTCTGTCACAGGTGGAATGTGTAGCTTGTCAGCTGCATGTAGAGGGTGGAGCTGATTTGGGTAAGTGTTCTAACTGCCCTTGAATCTGAAGATGCTGGGATACAAGGAGACATAATGAAAGGAGATTAGGGCAGCTGCCTTCTACTGTCTTCTGAATACAGTTTGAATGAATGATCCAGCAGTTTAATTTTCAGCAAGAGAACTCGGGTTTGGCATGTTTAATCAATTAATTAAATTAATTAAGTATAAGGAGCCCGAGGTTAGTATAGTTTATTTCTTAGAAGGATACATTTTTGTTTTTGATTTTTTTGGCGAGGGGGATGGGGTGAAGGGAGGCGTGGTGGTGGTGCTGGTGATTTTATTTAAATTCCTTGGCATTTGTTTC